TCTCTTATAGTTTAGCAGATATTTGATCCTAAAGAAAAATACCGTTATTCTTTAAAGGGGTGTTTCACCCCTTAAAACTCAAATTGCGCACGTATAAAAAAATACGTGTCTTTTAGATTTGTGTATTTAACAACATATTTCAAGGAGAATCAAATCGGTTCCGGACAGTTGTGACATGTCCCTTGTCAGTATCACAATCATTTCAAACATTTCTGTTTTAATTATTTGTATATATATTTTATATTTTAGAATCTACGACTACAATAATGTACTACGAGACATTCTGGTATTCTCTATCTTTTTCTATCTTAAGGGCGAATTGGAAATCTTTTGTGTTTTTCCCATTTTTGTGTGTTTCTTTCATGCGCCGAGTCACCAGATAACTGCATAGTGAGAAAAAATACAATAGTTCTTTCGAGTCTATGGGTTTGCAGTTTAGGTTTAGAGAAAAAAAGTACACATTTGGTGTGGGAATATTCTGGAATACACTCAAGACACAAAATCGTCCTCTCTGAAATCGCAAACGTATGAAATCAGTATTACGGTATTTTTTTCACACATATACGTTATCACACAAAAATTATACAAAAATAGTGCAATGGCTTCGATAACGTGCTTACCTGAAGAGATAATAACCATTATTCTTGAGTACGGTAACATAAGTATTGAAGATATTATCAATTTTCGATGCACGTGCCAGCAATTCCGGAAAGTAGCCGATTTCGTCAAGTTTATGGATAAGAAGTTTTTGCAAAGGTAATTGCTTGTTTATGAATATTATTGTAATTTAATTTCTGGTAATTGACCTGTTGCTTAATGGTACATTTCTAAGAAACTATATATACTCCTCATAAAAATTAAATTTATATATATATCTCGTATTTGAGATCTCTATTGTTCCTCAATAAGTCTTAGCAACGGCTAAGGAAATTTCGTGCTTTGTGCACATGCGTAAAACGGCAAAAAATTAAATTTTATCGTCCTCGCGCACGTACATCCGCAGTAGGCTAGTACAGCGTGAATTATATCTTTCTTTGTTATTATTTAATATAAATGATAATATAAGTTATCATTGTTTTTTATCGTTTTATTCTTTTTTCTATTTTAACCGAACAGTTCGATGATAGGACCAAAACGTTCACAAATAATAAATAAATTAGATTTCTAATTAGTATATTTATATTGAAATGTTTTATTTTATTGTTATTATTATTCCAATAAATTTGTAAAATATTATTTCATAAATATAGAATGTAAAAGTAATAGTATATGGTTATCGTTAAATAACAGAATTATAAAACGAGATATAAAATATATTGCTTTGTCTGCTACTACCTTTAGTATTATTATGTATATTCTTGATGTAAAATTTAATTATAATTTAAAATTTTTTTAAGATTGTACAATTTCTACAATAAGGCAAGAAGATTGATATTTCAATGATGTATCCCAGCAAACACCGATATATAATTGTTACATTGCTATAATAAAACGGACTATAACAGGTAATATAACGTGTACGTTACATGTAACATCTATGTTAGTTGTAATTTCCCACTCATAGATGTAACATTTTAATATAACATATATTACATTGTAGTTATATTGTAATTATATACCAAATAGCACATTGATGTATTGATAAGTCAGTGCTATCTTGGGATATAATGACAATATAACTACAATGTAATATACAGGGTTTGTCCGGAAAGTAATGCGTCGCATTTTTTTGTGACGCGACTATACATCGCAGAGCGATGGGACCGGTTGGGGAGGAAGGGGGGTACCCTTAGCTTTCCAACGGTAGGTCGCTCAATTGTTTCCATGCGCTTGGAGGGTTAGGACGGCTTATTCTGTGAACCTCTGCTTAGTGGTCGCGTCGAACTTGTGATGGAGAGAACGATAGAGCAACGCTATGCGATAAAGTTTTGCGTGAAGCTGGACAAGACGCCGCTGGAAACTTTTGAAATGCTCAAGAAAGTTTGGCCCCGGCGGACTTTTTTTTATTTCCTCGGCTGAAAAGGGAGCTCAAAGGACAACAGCTCGAGTCGGTTGACAACGTACAAGCTACTTCGACGGCCTCCCTGAACAGCATCCCAGTCAAGGAGTTCCAGAAATCTTATGACGCATGGAAATCGCGTTGGCAAAAATGTATTGACGCAGAAGGGTCATACTTCGAACAATTTTAAGTTGTTTTACCTATGCGATCAATAAATTCTTTTTTAAAAAAATGCGACGCATTACTTTCCGGACAAACCCTGTATGTAATATTAAAAATGTTACATCTATGAGTGGGAAATTACAACTAACATATACGTTACATGTAACATGCTTAAGTATATAACATTTATATACTGTGTTTGCTGGGATCTTTCAAACTGTATTTAAGTCTCAGTCAGAATTGAACGAAAAGACGTCGAATCGATATCGATTCGACCAATTTGATCGATACCAATTCGACATCAATTCGACGTCGATTCGACGCCGATTTAACTATCATTTCTAGCTGGGACATTTTTTCTTGTAATTTTAGATGGCCCAATGGCAAAAAATATTACGATAAAATATCTAAATATGAAATATATGAGCTAAATCTAAAAGATATTTTGGAATTTGAGGATAAATCTGAAGAGAAATCTAAGGAGGAACCTGAACAACTAATAATTATGAATAAAAAATTAAATTTTACAAAAATAGGAATATATAGTGTGAAGCTGTCACAAAATATTATGTCTGAAATACTTGATAAACTTTATATTATGAATGATTCAATAGCTTATATAGCAGATTTTGATTACCAATATCAATTAGAAAATACAATGGCACCTGACTATTACATATATAGAATGGAACAAATAGCTAAAAATTTCGTAACAAACACTTGTATCTCTGATGAAATTAAATATTTGTTAACAACCGAATCTTCACGGTATGATTTAGTATAAATTAAAGTGCTTTGAATATCATAGACTGAAAAAAATATATTTAATGTTCTGTTTCTTTTTTCAGAAGTGCTAATTGCGATCTAACCAAGAGATATTGCTATATGAGATTGTATAATTATTTGAGGAAACATGTGGTGTTTGGAAAGTGGGAAGGATTTCAAGCGAAACCAGCTAAACAACAGCTAATGGAACAAGCTGCTACTATTTTGGCTCAATATCTTCAACCAGAAAAGGATATTTTTTATTCGCGCATAAAAGCATCATTAAATACTATCGCACAAAACGCACGAAATTTGCTTAGAAAAAATATCCCGATCATTCGATATTTTGGACGTCTGCCGAAAATTTTTCCTATTGGGAAAACAACAATATTAACGATAATTATTGGGACGAAGCGGAAGGAACTCAAATTATGGATACACTGCAGGAATATATATTTGGTGAACTCAACTTTCGATTTAACCAAAAGGAAGACGATGATGAATTGAGACTGTATTGTATAGATAATGTAAGTTATTACAGATTATAATACATAATAATTATAGTCAATTATGCTATAAATATATTCAGTGTAGGGTAAACTCGCGTATGATGACGAATTATAAGGTTTTATTTTTTTTCTCTTGAAAACTAGTTGATTTTGTTGGGCGAGTGATATTTCAATAAAGTACTCTTGATGCGTTGAGAACTGTTTATTACGCGGAGAAGAATCAATAATGAGAGTGTGTCTCTCGATCGGGCGGTCGTCTTATATACCGTCGTCAAAATAACCGACGCTTCAAATCGCGCCAATCACGCGAGGACACGAATTCGACAAAAATCTCAGACGACGAACGGATGAACATGTACGGAAGACATACAATACAAAAGAATGTAAATACCGAGACAATGCCTTATACTAATACATGCCTGCAATAACAAGACGGACGACGGATAACTAAATAAGTCGAGCCCAACAAATAAATGCCAACAATTTTACGAAAATGAAAAAAAAATAAACAAGTTTCAAAAGGAATCAATATTTGTAACGCATATGTTTGAATAATCATATTCTGTTTAATAAATTCTAATAAAAAATTGAATATGGATTGTTAGTTTCATCTCTCTATAATAATAAAGATTAAAAACCAGGGAAAAGAATTAACAAAAAAGAATTAAAAAGATATTAACAAACATTCTTTTTGATAGTGATAAAAGTCAAGTTACATTTTTTAACTTGTCCATAATTTTAGAAAAAATTTAAAAAATCTGTTTTTTATCTTCTTTAAAAAAGTATAACTTTTCAGATAGGGATAGGATAAACTCGTGCGTGATAGCTGTACCGAAAATATGGCCACAATCTGTAATTTTTCTAATAATCGCTAAATATTACGTTTTTTATTATTCTCAAATATAATCAATATTTACAATAGTATATATGTATATACAATTCGGAATAACAATATAGTAAATATTATATCATGCTCTTATTTTTTACTACCACCAAAATATTTTACATGTTTACTAAAACATATGCTATGACGTCGAATAAATTTTAGTTGAGCTGTTATACTCAACATTATACATAACAAATAAATATAAATTTTAAAATTCTCGTAAAAGATGGACTTTTTCTTACAAATTAAAAAAAAGTTTGTGCGATTTTTTTTTCAAAACACTCGTTCTCCCTTCTCTAATTAATTTTCGTATTGTAATTTCCGAAACAGGTTTTAGAAAATAAATATGGCGATGATGATATTATATTAACAATATATCACGTTGTGGCCAGGAGACTTGGTCTACGGTGTGATATAATTAGAATTACAGGACAAAATTGTATATTTTGGAAACCTAAATAGTAAGTATATTTTATTTAGATTATAAATTATCCGAATTGTTCGATATTTTTACTTTCATTATATATACACACGCACATGTTTACATATATATATATATATATATATATGTATATATATATATTGTATATATATAACTTTACTTGTTTATATATGTATATGTATGTATGTGTATTTATATATGTATAGATGTGTAACTTTTGATTGTTTCTAGTGCCACGAACAGCTTAGAAAATGTAAGGTGTTTTTACATAAATTTTGGCAAATTCTCGGATTGTCCTATCGAGATGTCTTTTTCAGAACCCTCTGTATATTACGAAATGTCAGCTATTGAGGTTGGCAATTAATCATAGATGATTTATATTAATTTTAATATTTATTAATTAATGCATTTGCAACATCGAAACCACGAATTTCTGAAACACATCTTATAACTAGAAAAAATATACCATTTCTCACTTTTTCTTTCGTAATCGCAACTTCATCTACGTATACATGTTTATAATTTTATTATCTCTTCCAGTTAGTTGAAAGAATTTTTGAATTTGAAGATTTGACCTGGAAAAATAATATTTTGGAAATGCCACCAAAGGAAATACTATTATCAAGTTTATCTATTTGCAAGGATGAAAAACGTGTATGTTGTCGGCATTATACAATATTAATATACATAAATTGATATATAATCATAAATGTTATTGTTTTCTCTCTTATATCATATTCAATTATGGGCGAATTATAATTTAATTTACTATTATTCTTTTTACTACAAAAGTCCACAATTAGAAACTACATAATAAAAATGATTATTTATAGATTAATATTACAATTTCCAGGATGCATTTGAATTTAATAAATTAAATCAGTCGATTGGACGACCAAACAATATCAAATTTGCAGTTGGAATGATCGTAAAACATAATAAAAATGAAAGTCATGAATCTACAAACGGTATTCGTGGTGTAATAGTAGGTTGGCACAAAAATAAATTTGGCCTTAAAAAAATATTCACCAGCAAGAGTTACGAATACAGATACAAAATATTGTTCTACTGCTATCTTAGGCCTTTCAATACTTACTCGTATTATGCTTTTTTGGAAGCATCCACATATGAACAACCACATTACATAATACTGACTGAAAAGAACACACTTTGTTTCATAAATGAAGGTAAAATCATTGAAACTTATCTTTTTTTTAAAATATATTTATTAAATTACAAACTCGTCTCTTCTATATGCAATGTAAAAAAATATTTTATTTTTTCTGGTTTATTCCAGACTCTTTATTAATTTAGTTATTCTATTTATTTTATTTATCATTTTTATTTGTTACATTTTATTTATTATTTCTTGATACAGTTTATTACTTACAATTAATCGTAGTTATTATTAATTTATTTTTTATTTACTTATTTTGTTTTTTTAATTTAGACGCTCTGACTTTAACAACTGGATGGGTCGAAAATTACGAAATAGGTCATTATTTTTGTAAATTCGAAGACACGCATTACGTACCAAATAAAATGATGGCAGAACTTTATCCGCACGATGCCGCTATAATTGAGGAGAAAAACAATATCAAATACGGTATACAAATGGCTAACTATAAGCACAAACGCAGTAATTAAGACACGTATATTTAATTGTAAATTATACCCATTGTTAATGTAAGTATTATAATGTAAGTATTATAATGTTAGTATTATCAAAAAAGGGCGTACATTTTAATCTGTTTCTGGATAATCTGTAGCACAATTGAATAGTAAATTTAACATAATAATAATATAAATAAAATTACTAACAATTCAATAAAGTGTTCTCTTATCTCATTCAAATATTAAAAGATAACTCCATTTTAAAATCATAACTTTAAAGTATCACACATATTTTCAAGATATATTCCAATTTGTAAATCAAAAACTAAATTCTACTAAGAGTCTAATAAGGCTAACTATTTATTATTAGAATATCTTGTCAGAAACAAAATTTTAGCTAATAAATCATGGAAACGATACGAGATAAAGAAATGACAAGAGTTACAAAAACGGATAATATTTCTGATTGTGAACGAGATGTAACATAAATCGATCAAACTATCAAGGAGACTAATGATAAATATATTCATTTAATTACATTATAAATTATATTGTGAAATATTTAGTTTGATTACATTTTTGTTTTTGATCATCCAACGTTCAGTATGTTAACACATGAATAATTTATAATATCGACTCTGTATTATAATATATTGCTGTCATGACAAACCAAAGTTTTAATCTCAAGATTTCTAATGATTGTTCTGCGACATATATAAAACAAACTAAGAGGCATCATAGTACTAGGTTTAAAGAACATCGGAATAATATAAAATTAGATATTATTTCGCATTCTGCTATTAGCAAACATCGGTCTGATTTCGATTGGAATAGTTTTAATATTTTACATACTAAAAAACATGTAAAGAAGAGAAGAAATGTTTTTTATTAAAAAACTTAATAATAACATAAACTCACAAAAGGATACAGAGAGATTAAATGAAATCTACAACAAAATAATTAAGGTCGTATAAAATAGGCTTACTGATAGTTTTAATATACTGTTGACGATCATTGTTGTTTGACACGTTGAGTACTGTCTCTCGCTTTTAACTTCTGATTTTTGTCATAAAATGTTATATTGTTTATTTCGACAAAAAATGTGATTTTTGCGTATATTTAATTTTATAATAAGTAGTAATATTATCATTGCAATTCTGCACTGGGACAGTTTTGTGCGTTTTTTGTTTTTATCTTTATAATTTTTATGTTTAAAATAATTTTTTAGTGTTTCACTTTAAAAGGACTGCAACCACATGGTCGAATCGTCGTGATAGTTATTAAATTGATTTCTTGCAAGTTTGATCGATTATTTAATTATTCTTATTTTCTGATTAGCGATTGGAAACAATTACGCGTACAATTTTTTTGCCTATCCTTTTTTTAAAAAATCTCTAAAGATCAAAACAAGCATTATTTGAAAGACTCTTCCAACCAAAAAACTTTTAATGTTTCCGTAAAGAAGGAAAATTTTTCTAAAAAAGACTGCTTATGAAAATGTTCACATTACTCATGTATATATATATAATCTCTAAAAACTCACCTTTAAAAAAAGGTAAAAAAAGGCGACCAGTTAAGGGCACGCCATTAACAAAAATTAACCATTGCAAACCCATGTAGAATCGTACCCATTGCAAACCTATGTAGAATCCTATGAAAAATTAACCATTGCAAACTCATGTAGAATCCTATGAAAAATTAACCATTGCAAACCCATGTAGAATTGTATTAAAAATGATCCATTGCAAACTTATGTAGAATCCTACATTGCAAACCCATGTACAATAGAATAATCTCTAAAAACTCACCTTTAAAAAAAGGTAAAAAAAGGCGACCAGTTAAGGGCACGCCATTAACAAAAATTATCCATTGCAAACCCATGTAGAATCCTATCCTATTGCAAACCCATGTAGAATCCTATGAAAAATTAATCATTGCAAACCCATGTAGAATCCTAGGCAAAATTAACCATTGCAAACCCATGTAGAATCGTACCCATTGCAAACCTATGTAGAATCCTATGAAAAATTAACCATTGCAAACTCATGTAGAATCCTATGAAAAATTAACCATTGCAAACCCATGTAGAATTGTATTAAAAATTATCCATTGCAAACTTATGTAGAATCCTACATTGCAAACCCATGTACAATAGAATTGTATGAAAAATTATCGATTATAAACCCATGTACAATCGTAACAAAAGTAATGAAATAAAAAAATAAAAAAATGTAGAATCGTACCATAAAAAAACTTATATTTTAAAAAAAAAGATAAACAAGATGCCAAGTCCATGCGCCATGTGAAAAAAAAAAAAAAAATTTTAGTTAAAAAAACTGGGCGCGCTGCTAAGTTTCAAAATTACAATGCACCTTAAAGTAACATTAATTAATTTAAACACAAAACATATTTTAACTGTAATGAGTTTAAAAGTAACAATTTAATTTTAATATTGTTAGAATATTATTTAGCAGCGCTCCCAGTTTTTTTAACTAAAATTTTTTTATTTCTTTTTTACATGGCGCATGGACTTGGCATCTTGTTTATCTTTTTTTTTAAAAGATAAGTTTTTTTATGGTACGATTCTACATTTTTTTATTTAAATTTTTATTTCATTACTTTTGTTACGATTGTACATGGGTTTATAATCGATAATTTTTCATACAATTCTATTGTACATGGGTTTGCAATGTAGGATTCTACATAAGTTTGCAATGGATAATTTTTAATACAATTCTACATGGGTTTGCAATGGTTAATTTTTCATAGGATTCTACATGAGTTTGCAATGGTTAATTTTTCATAGGATTCTACATAGGTTTGCAATGGGTACGATTCTACATGGGTTTGCAATGGTTAATTTTGCCTAGGATTCTACATGGGTTTGCAATGATTAATTTTTCATAGGATTCTACATGGGTTTGCAATAGGATAGGATTCTACATGGGTTTGCAATGGATAATTTTTGTTAATGGCGTGCCCTTAACTGGTCGCCTTTTTTTACCTTTTTTTAAAGGTGAGTTTTTAGAGATTATATCATTCATTTTTGTATATTTTTATGACCGGAATAGAACAATTATTAAACATGTTTATCTAAACTTCTTTGCTTAAAATGATGTGTACAATCATATCCTAGAATCCTGATCATTCCTCCTAAAGCACCCTATTTATATAAATTTACCCATATGTGTGTGTGTGTGTGTGTGTATGTGTGTGTGTGTGTGTGTGTGTACTAATGTCGAGCATTTTTTATACATTTTCTATTAAATTTAGATAAAAGTTGCAGGATTTCGAAAAAGAAAAAGTTGACACAGACTTTTTCCTAAACGGCGATTTTCAAGGTTATTTAAAGGTCACTTATATTTTCAAAATAGAATTACCTTAATTTTTCTCATATAAATCGATTCCTCGCAATATTTACTATAAAAAGTTGTAAAGGTATAATTTTTACATAATCTTACATAAACTTCGAAATATTACAAATATTTTATTTTATGAAATATTTCAGTTTATGTAAAATTATGTTAACTATCTTTTAAATTATTCACTTTTAGCCATCTTACCCTTACAACCTTTTATAGTGAATATTGCAACAAATTGGTTTATATATATAATATATATATAACATCAGTTATTATTAATTGATGTTTACATTTATTTTTAGACTTACTAGAGCTCAAATGCTCCACATTTTTTGCAAAAACTGTTTATTCTACAGATTTCAAATATGCTTTTAAATGATGATTGAATATTTCCTTTTTTTAATTATTTTTATTATTATTTTTCAATCTCAATCAACTTTTATAACTTTATGCCAGCACGATACAAATACATGTGTCTTTATTTTTTTTATTATTTTCATTATTATTTTTCAATCTCAATCAACTTCTATAACCTTATGCCAGCAGGATACAAATACATGTATGTCTTTATTATTGTATCAACTCTTGTCTTTTCCATGTAACCATGTCTTCATAGTTTGAATTATCCCTTCATCTTCTCAATCTTTCGCAGAGATTTAATTAATTAAATACACTTCACACGAAATAAAGTTTGCTGGAAGATATACAGCAAACGATAACTGTAAAAACATGATTACGTGGAAAGAACAAGAGTTGGTACAGTAAAGGCAAGTAAGTAAGTACATGTAATGTATCGTATTGGCATAACGCTATATCCGCGGAGCAGATAATGTGGCTGTAGAGGTAGTCTGCAGTGCAGCTAATGTGGACGTAGATGTTGATTGAGATAATTGTCTAATATAAAATAGAATTTAAAAATTTAGTTTAAAAAGCTGTTGCATATATAAATAAAGTTTATTTTTTCTAAATTTGGAATATGTTTAATTAATTAATTTTTTAAGTCTATGTTTAATAAATTTTTTAAGTCTGTATTCAATAATTTTATTCATTTGATAAATACATGTATGTCTTTATTTTGATATGTTTAATATAATTAGAAATTCATTATTAATTAGATATGTAAACTATAAATTCATATATAATATTTGAAAATATATGTGAATATTTAAATTTTTATCTTCTCCTTCCTCTCCTTCAATCTCTTTAATATCAATATGTGTATGTGTGTACACGCGCGCACATTTGTACGTATTTATTTAATTATTGGATAGTTGAGAGTACTTAATTGATAAAAAATTATGACAATAATAATCCTTGTTTTTTTTTCTTATTATTTACTCAGATTTTTTTGTCTATCTTATAAGATAAACACTTTAGAGATTGAATATTTCAAGTAAACTAATTGTAAGTAAATTTCACATTAATGCATATAGATGTTTAATCATGAATGTACTAAATAAGTACACAAGACGAACAGTGAGTGAGTGAGTGAGAATGAGAGAGTGTGTGTGTGTGTGCGTGTGTGTGTGAGAAAGAGAGAGAGAGAGAGAGAGAGAGAGAGTTAGCCAACATAACCCCGCACGCTGCCGATATGGCGGAGCGCCACTATCGCCATCTGTTGTAAAACGTGCGAGATGGACAAAATTACCACTACATGCATCTTGCATGTGTTGTGTACGTGTGATATATGTGTGCGCATGTGTTGTATACGTGTGAATACGTGTAGCACGATACTACTATGTATGCGTGGTCGA